TCCACTAGAGGGTGACCAGGAAAACTAGTCGTCGCAGTCCACGAGGCAAGGGCTGCGACGCTGTCGAACTGCGGAAGCCCTCAGGAAAGACCTTCGAACGTGATAGACGTGCTTGTGGATGGTGTTCGTGCATCTGCCCTTGTAGATACTGGAGCCGCCGTATCCGTGATGGACGCAAAGCTTAGCCGAATACTGCGCAAAGTGACCACGCCACTTTCCGGGCTCTCCCTCCGTACAGCCAGCGCCCAAAGCATTCACCCTACAGCGATGTGTACAGCCCGCCTCATGATTCAGGACGTGATGTATGCCGTTGAATTCATCATAATTCCTTCATGCTCTCACGACGTCATCCTAGGATGGGATTTTCTCTCCCGCCACGACGCCGTCATTCATTGCGCACCAGCAGAAATAGAGCTAACACCATTCTCTTCTTTGACGCCGGCCGACAGTCCATCTACTGCAAGCAAATTACTCGTCAGGGACGACACGCAAGTGCCTGCAAACTCGTCCGCGGCGGTGTCGGTGTACTGTGCAAGTCTTTCTGACACCGCTGCACTCCTCTCACCATTTCATCGTGTTTTCACAAGAAAAGGTTTGCTGGTTCCTTTCGCGACCGTGCAAGTAACTCGCGGCAGCACCACTATTTTTGTTCTGAACTCATCCCCGTACAGTGTTACGTTGGTGCGAGGGGAATGTCTCGGCAGCGTGGAACCCATCGAAGACGCACAAGTCATGGATCAACCTGATGACACGCACTGCCGAAGTTCCAATACGCTTAGTGCTGTTTCTACATCTGTTTTATCATCCGCTGATGTATTTGGTCCTTCCATTGCCGACAACCTTACGCCGGTCCAGCGCTCCCAGCTTCTGGCCCTGTTGGAAGAATTCCGCTCTTCTTTTGATGTCTCTCAACCTTCTCTCGGCCGCACATCGACTGTTACGCATCGCATTGACACAGGCGCACAACCACCACTACGGCAACGTCCATATCGCGTATCTCCCACAGAACGCCGTGTAATCAACGAGCAAGTGGACGACATGCTACGCCGCGATGTTATTCGACCCTCTAACAGCCCCTGGGCATCTCCTGTCGTTCTCGTCGCGAAGAAGGACGGTTCTGTGCGGTTCTGTGTGGACTACCGACGTCTCAACAAGATCACTCGTAAGGACGTGTACCCACTACCGCGTGTGGATGACGCGATTGACAGCCTGCAAGGAGCCGAATTTTTTTCATCTCTAGATTTGCGCTCAGGGTACTGGCAAGTACCTATGGCTGAAGACGCTCGACCGAAGACCGCTTTCGTCACTCCCGACGGCTTGTACGAATTCAACGTCATGCCGTTTGGGCTGTGCAATGCGCCTGCCACCTTTGAGCGCATGATGGATACCGTCCTGCGTGACCTGAAATGGCACACGTGCCTGTGCTACCTCGATGACGTCGTCGTTTTCGCTCCGGACTTCTCAACGCATCTTCAACGCCTGCGGCATGTTTTAACGCGTCTGAGTGACGCCAGTCTGCAACTGAACCTGAAGAAGTGCCGATTTGCAGCTCGGCAGTTGACAATACTCGGCTACGTCGTGTCCAAGGACGGAATTCTCCCCGATCCAGCCAAGCTTCGGGCCGTGACCGAGTTCCCCAAGCCGACATCCATCAAGGAACTGCGCAGTTTCTTAGGACTGTGTTCCTACTTTCGGCGCTTCATCCGAAACTTCGCGTCTATCGCATCGCCGCTGACAAAACTCCTCGGTAGTAACGGGCCTCTCCATTCGTGGTCATCACAGTGTGACGACGCATTCACAACGCTTCGTCGTTTACTGACGTCGCCTCCCATACTCCGCCACTACGACCCTACTGCCCCTACAGAGGTACACACGGACGCCAGTGGTGTCGGTCTCGGCGCTGTCCTTGCGCAGCGCAAACCAGGGTTCCCGGAATATGTCGTGGCGTATGCACGCCGTACGCTTACAAAAGCCGAGACTAATTACACCGTCACTGAGAAAGAATGTCTGGCAATCGTGTGGGCCCTTACCAAGTTCCGACCTTATTTATATGGTCACCCATTTGATGTAGTCACCGACCATCACGCACTATGCTGGTTGTCCTCATTGAAAGATCCCTCAGGCCGTCTCGCCCGGTGGGCACTTCGCCTGCAAGACTACGACATCCGCGTGCTGTACCGCAACGGAAGTCAACATGCTGACGCCGACGCCCTGTCGCGCTCTCCCTTGCCTGACGACAATGCCCACGACTCAGCGTCTCACCTTGCCGTTTCTTCCATTAGCTTTCATGCCGTTGCTACTGAACAGCGCAAGGACCAATGGATTGCCTCACTAATAGACTTGCTGACTGATCCATCCACTCCATCCACTCGCGCGTTGCGTCGTCAAGCCCACCATTTCGCCGTTCGCGACGACCTTCTTCACCGACGCAATTACAGCGGTGACGGCCGCCAGTGGCTACTAGTCATACCCCGCAGTCTGCGCTCTGACATATGCGAATTCTTTCATACTGATCCGCAATGTGCGCACTCCGGCGTATCGAAGACTTACGAGCGCATTCGCCAACGGTACTTTTGGCGCGGCATGTACCGCTATGTGCAGAAATTCGTTCGCTCCTGCATAGAATGTCAGCGCCGCAAAACTTCAACGCACCTGTCGCCGGTAGGTCTGCAACCTCTACCTTGCCCTGCCAGGCCATTTGGGCGCGTTGGCATTGATTTGTATGGGCCACTTCCACTAACGTCGGCCGGTAACCGCTGGGCCATTGTTGCTGTGGACCACCTCACGCGATACGCCGAAACTGCCGCTCTCCCCGCGGCTACAGCGAGCGATGTGGCCTCCTTCCTGCTCCAACGATTCATGCTGCGACACGGTCCACCTCAGGAACTGCTCAGTGATCGAGGCCGCGTCTTCCTGTCTGAAGTCGTCGAAGCCATTCTCAAAGAGTGCAACGTTGTTCACCGCAAAACTGCTGCTTACCACCCGCAGACGAATGGCCTTACTGAACGCTTCAACCGTACGCTCGGCGACATGCTCTCCAAGTACGTCGCCGCCGATCACACAAATTGGGATTCTATTCTACCCTTCGTCACCTACGCATATAAAACCGCCCCTCAGAGCACTACTGGCTTTTCACCTTTCTTTTTATTATATGGAAGGCACCCATCGCACACCATCGACACTATACTTCCGTACAAGCCAGATCCGTCAGAGTGGGCGCCTATTTCTGCTACAGCCAAGCTTGCTGAAGAGTGTCGAGAGCTCGCAAGGACCTTTACAGCGCATGATCAAGAGCGGCAAAAAGGCATTCGCGCTGACACCAGCACCACTGCGCCCATGTTTCTCCCTGGAGCGCTCGTCTGGCTCTCGATCCCTACCACTTCAACTGGCCCATCTTCAAAACTATTGCCCAAATACGAAGGCCCCTACCGTGTCGTCGAACGCACTTCCCCTGTAAATTACTTGATCGAACCCATCGAACCATCTTCGGACATGCGCCATCGAGGGCGCGACATTGTCAACGTGGAGCGCCTCAAAGCCTACCACGACCCGCTCATAGTAACCAGCTGCTAGGTCGCCAGGCGGCTCCCTCTTCGTACCCGGGGTAGTTGTGGTGAAGCCTTCGAACAGTGGGTCGTCCTCTCCAGCGCCTTCTAGTGGGTTGCCCTTTTTAGCAAGAAGAAGAGCAGCTCGTGCAGAGAGTCGGTACCCGCATTGACTGTCACTGTCAAGCATCGTCGACAACCGTCCGCCAATAAACGTCTCAACAATATATATATATATATATATATATCTATATATATATATATATATATATATATATATATATATATATATATATATATATATATATATATAACATGCTCAACAAGTAATTTAACCATATGGTGTAGTAGCGCAAAATCACGGGGACGAAGAGGACAAGAAAACACGACACTCGCTACACTCGCAACTAATTTTTATTTCAGAAGCAGCACTTCTTATATAACCCATAACCCTAGCGACACAGAAAAGAACTACAAGCACTGAATCATTGCCAACAGAACAGAATCATTGCCAACAGGTTATAGCATTACCCAGGGCTGTTTTTAGTTATGTCATCTATAAGAGTGTCTAAGCTTAACTGCCGTGTACTTTAGCTTGAGTCTGCGCAATAGCTTCTGTTGGCAATGATTCAGTGTTTGTAGTTCTTTTCTGTGTCGCTAGGGTTATGGGTTATATGTGAAGTGCTGCTTCTGAAATAAAAATTAGTTGCGAGTGTAGCGAGTGTCGTGTTTTCTTGTCCTCTTCGTCCCCGTGAATTAGCGCTACTACACCATATGGTTAAATGATGTCTCACCAACTAGTCCAGCTCTCAACCCTACTGATGCTCAACAAGTGCTGCGCTTCATGCAGATCTACCGACGATGAATGCGGAAGCAGCGATCCCGAAGCGAAGTCTTCCCACACTGCTACAGTGAACGCCATCCTCTCCTCTCTGATATTAAAAATGGTGATTTTTTATCTGATGTAACGTATCATACATTGAAAGCTGTCTTCTGTATTGACTGATCTGCTAGCCAAACTTACAGTACCCCCGAGCTGCATAAAGGCACTGCAGATAATTCTGGTGCAATAAAAAAAAAAGACTCATTACCGTTCATGTCTTTCGTACCTTGTCATCGACGCAGTCACGGCAAGCAGAAACAAAAAAGAGAACTTCTAAGGCATTGACAGTGCACAGAGAGGTGATTTATCCAATGAAGCGGTACGAAAATTCTCGTGTGCCGCTGCTAACCCACGTGGCACGTCAAACCGGAAGCAGTCGTATCCCACAGTTCCCTGCGGTTGCCTATTTTACCAGTCATCTATTGTGTTAGCAAGAAAAAAAGGGTATCGAGATACTGCTAAATATTGAATTCACGGCTTCAAAAGCAGCTTTTAAATTGTCTCCGAGGGCAATTTTGGTTATTGCGAAGGACAGTCAAAGCATTACTCAAATACGAAACGACTTTGCTCACCAACAATGGGAAAATATATCCAGGAACTTCCCACGATTGGCAGAGAAAGAATTCTGGGAACTTCGCTGAAAGGCTTGGCGAACGTTAGCCAATCGCCATATCTTGATGAGCTGAGGCTAAAACACTGTTTACAGGTTCGCAAAGCAGTTCGTATTCCCTGCCTACATGCAGCCGAGAGTAGCATCCTGACGTGCCGTTCACGTCTGCTCAGTGCGTTCATAAGCACCGTCGCATTTAGGCAGAGTGACAGACAGGTGTGGCTTGCCTGACACGATGGATGTGCGTAAGGACGTCAGACTGTTAGCAACACATGAAGCAACATGAGCGCATGAACTCCTAGAAATCCCTATGCAAGCTCTTGCTCAATTTGTTTTTCGAGCTTAGACATGAATCAGACTGGGCCTAATGAAGTTTGACGGAGGCTGTCGCAAAAAGATAGTAAGCGGAGTTTTTAGGTATCTGCCGCAATTGATATTTTTTGAAGTGCAATATAAAAGACATTTGTGTTTCAATTTCTCATATCGGAGTTGTACCTCTGAAAGAACTCAACGATGTGTGACGTCGAAGCAGTTAGTTTCATAACATTGTGTGAGCACGCCCTTCGAGGATAGGGTTTGCATTTCCCAATCGGAGCAGTGCACGCTGAGGAATTCATAAACAGTTCATGGCACGCATTCCAGGCGTCGCGGCAAATGTCAGCGGTATAGAGGTCTGCCTTTGGGTTGCGTGTTCTCGACTCTCTTCATGCTACGCTAGCATTTACATAGACATTCGTAAGCCTTTATTATACCCCTCGCGCCGTCATGATCCGTATGTGCAAATATATATATATATATATATATATATATATATATATATATATATATAATTAAGGGAAAGAAGTGTATACTTAAGGGCTTGTCTTTCCGTGTTTTAACACAATAATAATGAGATCTAACAGACAGTAATTCCAAGGAATGTACAGGGGAAGTTATTAGAACCAATGGAATGTAAATAAGAAGAAAGAAGAAAAGTGGTTGAAAAAATAGCCAGCTGTGAGCAGGAATCGAACCTACGACCTTCGAATAACGCGCTCGATGCTCTAATCACTGAGCTATCACAGCGGCCTTCCCTCCATCCACTTTTTTGGGCTTTATATGTGAATTTAGAAGTAGTAGTGACAGTCAGCACCATCTATAAGCCGAGCGACTAGTGTGAAAACACTCTTATTCGCATGTTTGGCGTCACGTGAACTTATTATGAGTGGGCAGCTGATTAATTGTCCCTCTTATACAACCTAAACACACCAAGTATGCCAGTACGAGACCCTCGTTCAATGAAATAAGGGAAAGAAGTGTATACCTAAGGGCTCGTTTTTCCGTGTTGTAACACAATAATAATGAGATATAACAGGCAGTAATGCCAAGGAATGCACAGGGGAAGTTAGTAGAACCAATGGAATGTAAATAAGAAGAAAGAAGAAAAGTTGATGAAAAAATAATCAGCCGTGAGCAGGAATCGAACCTACAACCTTCGAATAACGCGTTCGATGCTCTAACCACTGAGCTATCACAGCGGCCTTCCCTCCATCCACTTTTTTGGGTTTATATGTGAATTTAGAAGTAGGAGTGACAGTCAGCGCCATCTATAAGCCGAGCGACGAGTGTGAAAACACTCTTATTCGCATGTTTGGCGTCACGTAGCACGTGAACATATTATGAATGGGCATTATGAAATGAAGTCAATTAGAAGAAATGGATTATGCTAGATTTTATGAAACAGAGTTAGGCGAGCGATTTTTCTCCGTGATGCTAGTAACGGAACACACTAGCATCTCGATTAGAAAAACAGATTAGAAAAAAAATGATTCGAACAGAATTGTTTTGAACGAGCTCTGGAGAGGTGAGGTTTTCGTTCTGTGGGTACCACACTGCTGCAGCGTACTCTAATTTTGGATGCACTAAAAACTGAAAAAGTTGTAATTTTAAGGACGATGGGGCATTAGAAAACTTGTGACGATAGTAGCTAAGCATGCTGTTCGCTCTATTGCCCCGCCGCGGTGGTCTAGTGGCTAAGGTACTTGGCTGCTGACCCGCAGGTGGCGGGATCGAATACCGGCTACGGCGGCTGCATTTCCGATGGAGGCGGAAATGTTGTAGGCCCGTGTGCTCAGATTTGGGTGCACGTTAAAGAACCCCCAGTGGTCGAAATTTCCGCAGCCCTCCACTACAGCGTCTCTCATAATCATATGGTGGTTTTGGGACGTTAAACCCTACAAATCAATCAGTTAGCTCAATTGACTATGTATTCAATATGTAGAGACCAAGTTAGGTGCACTGCCAAAGCATAAGAGTCCAATTATTATCACAGCATAATTGCAATGTTGTCAACATTACCTTCCAATAAAGTAAATGAAGCAGTGTATTTATTGTTCGGACTGCATTCTGCGTTTCAGTCATTGATTGTAATCCATGTTACAAATAATGTGAGGTATGTGGATCGAGAGCAACGAGGCCCAGTACCCAGAACCTTCACTAAATTAACCAAGCGTGTTTCTCGGAAGACTTTAGGCAAGAGACGGAGGAAGGCAAGCAAGGCAGCTTCAGCACAGAAAACAGGACGCTGTGAGTGCGACACACCAACGTCTTCGTCTTTTCTTTCACTGGTACGGAGCTGGTGCCAATGTGCACCAAGGTAATCTTTATATGGCGCTCACGGGCACCGTGGCACGGCCGAAACATTAATCAGAAAGGAAAGGATTTTCTGTGTGTGTAGCGCTTTAAATATATATATATATATATATATATATATATATTATATATATATATATATATATATATACAGGCAGCAACATCTTCACTTTAGTAATAGTCACGTGAAACACAACAAAACTAGTATTCCCTACAGCCAAGCAGTCCGTTTTAAAAGAATATGCTCTGATAGCAGCGAATTTTCCCGCCACTGCGAACAACTTCGGAGCGCGCTCGAAAAACAGAGCTATCCGGCCAGCATAATCACAGATGCCATCAAACGTGCAGAAGGGCTTGACCGTTCAGACCTGCTGAGTACTAACAAATGACCCAAAGATTGTTCGCGCACTAATCTAATTTTGACACATGCGGCCTCAGCTCCAATTGTGAACCATATCTTAAAGAAACATTTTAACATTTTAATACAGAGTGAGCGGCTCTAAGGAATCTTTACAGAACAACCACGCGTGGTCTACCGACGATCGCGGAACCTTCGTGATTTACTAACCTCATCTAAAACCACGTGTTCACATCATGAAGGCTGTCATCCCTGCAACAAACCACGTTGCAAAGTGTGCGCGCACATGACAACATCTAAAACAGTTTCAAGTACATCGTCCAGTTTTTCTTTAAAGATAAATGGGAACTACACGTGTGATAGTATCAACGTCATCTATCTTCTCGAGTGTTCAACATGCGGTGCTCAGTACATAGGTCAAACAAAGACAAGTTTCAGAATTCGTTTTAATAATCACCGTGCACATGCTGTAAGCCTCCCTAATCTACCGCTGTCGAAGCACGTCAGTATGCCTGGCCATAGTTTCGACAAAATTAGGGCCACTATTATTCAGTCCGGTTTCAAGACAAATTACGATAGGGAAGTGAGGGAATCCTTCTTGATCCACAAATGTAACACCATTCGTTCAGGTATCAATGAAAACCTAGGAAAGCTCACCTGCCTCGCACTATAACAACACGACTTCTTATATTAGTAAAATATTTTAGTGTATATGAAATTGTATATTAGTCAACCGTGGTTTCTTTACTTCTGAGCTCTTTTACATGTCCTGCCAACCATACTGTGCCCCACGTGTCGATGCGCAAGGAAATTTGAAACTTGTATATTCATGGACCCGTCACATGTCAGTCATGTCAACACAAGGTTCTGACAGGTTACCATTTTTTTACTTTGATTGTCCTAGCTGCTATACCGAGAGTTCATCACGTGAGTCTATAAAAGTGCCTGCATTGTATCATACCTACTTACTCTGACGAAGGCCGTGCCACGGCCGGAACGTTAGTAAATACGATCGTTTTGTTATGTGCTATCTGCAAGTTAATTCAATATAGAAAATACCCGGACCTGTCGTGCCTTCCCTTCAAGTTCTTCTTCAACCATGGGTCCTGGGACAGCACTGAAGAAAAAGATGATTTCGAAATACCCTGTGCACACTCCTACCATAGCAGTTGTGGGAGATTCACAAACAAAGTATATACATCAATACTTCGACCCCCTCTGCAATGGCACACCAGCCTTCATTTCGCAGTGTGGTGCTACAATCGGTGATGTGCGTGACTTACTGGATCTAGTGCCCCGCTCAGCATCCTGTCTTATTCTTCATGTTGAGACGGTCGATGTGGCTTCGAGTTCGGGACACGAGGCGTTTGCAAAATACAGCGATCTACTTGAAAGCATTGCAAAATACCGCCCAGAAATTTGGCAAATTTACGCCACGCTGATACTGCCTAGAAGTGGAAACCGTCGACAAAGGAACTGTAACCTGACATTCGTCCGACGTTGCAACAGAGAAGCATCAGTGTTCAACAACATGCTTCGGAATTTTTGCCGCTATTCCCGGCTAGTTTGCTACCTCGATCATGAAATCGAATGGTTACTACCCACACGCGTCCTCGCAGCAGACGGCCTTCATCTGAGCTTCGAGGGTGTGTCGTTGCTTGCAAGCCACATCCGCCGCCTGTGCTTCAGGAGACCAGTGGATGCGACATCAGCTGCCTGGTGCGATTCATCAACGAATGACGACTCTCCGCATCGAGTGGATCGAGCTGGGCGACCTTCAGCACCCAGTCATCCTACAGCACAGCCGAACTCAAGAAACAACACCGCACCGACAGCAACCTTCACCATGACGAGCAAGCCTTCCGTAGCAGAGAACGTCACCTCGAAAGCAACGCGCGTCCACATGAACAAGTCGCAATCTACACAGCCTATGTCTTGCCTACCGCCGCCTGCGGTCATTGCATCACTTTCGCCGTCTCAACCACGCTACGGACTTCGGAACAGGGGCACAACCACGAGAGGAACCAACTGACTAACGCAACGCCAGCTGGGTGAGAGTACTTTATCTGTTGGCTCAATGAATTTTTTAGGGACCAGGAAGGTTATAGAAAAATGAACTCGTTGTGAATCGCACATTTCTACACTTAAAATGTATGTCGCGGCAACAAGTGCTCCTAAAAGTTTACAACTAAAACTGCAGCCGGCC